TGGCGCCACGCTGCTCCCGCGCTAGCCCTCCAGCGCAAGAGCTTAGCGTACTCGTTTGATTGGACTGATGCATTAAAGACCATTTCCTCCCCCGTTTTTCTTCTCTGTGAGTCCGTCTGCCCGTTATCTTCCCGGCCCCGGCTGCCTCTGAGGGCTGCCCCACTGGAGCTCCTGCCCGTAAGGCTGCAACCAGTGTGACCACTGCAACCAATGCTGCAATCAGTGTCACCACTTTATATGTAATATGTAGAGATCAAATAGGTGTTGTATAATATTTCCTTATGCGGCTTATATGTTCAGGTGTGTTGCCTTTAGTGCCTGAGGCTTCAAGGAGTCTGCTAAAAACAAAATCCCAAATCCTTGGCAATACTGTTGGAAGGAAAAATATCTTTAGCACTGCCAGACGGGTGATACGTCATCCTCTGGGGAGGTGCGTCTTGAAGATGCACAGACCAGTTGTGTTTTGCAGATGATCCCGTTGCACAATACTGCCCGGGTGTGTGGAGGGAGGCGGATCGCCATCGCAGTTTGCTTGTATTCTTAGGTATTTTTGAGTATTGCATCCTGCAATTCGATATACAGCATCTGATCCTGATCTCCATCCCATTGGCTTTTCACTAGTTTTCTGTGAAATGATGTCAGTGAATTCTGATAAGAATGTAGTTAGGCTGTTAGTGCTGCCATCCCCAAATTTTAGACAGTCATGAATGACGTCCAGGAAAAGTTCATTCTTCTTTCAGGGCATTTGTCATGAATAATGTTCTTTCACCCATGAGTCCATTTCTTTTCCCAGTATTGAATATGCAAGGTTTAGCGTCCAAGCAGATTTTCACCGTGGTTCTGGGTGCGCAGGGTTTGAATTCCCTGAGGCACTGATTCCTGGAGGTTGGATAAGACATTTTTAAATGAATTAGGCAAGTGAACTTATTATATTCTGAACATGTTGTAGTAAAATATAAGTTTCTATTTTCAGAGTGGTTTAGGATGGGATTTGCAAGCCGTTTGCATAGATGGCCTAGCTTTGCCTCTGTTTTGCAAGATAATTTACACAGTTTGAGATAATTTCTGCCAGATTCTCTTCAGATCTATTAGACAGCATTGCTATTTCTAGAACTGTTGTGAGGTAAATCAGATGCTTATCATATTAACTGAAGCATAGTAAAGTGTGTTAAACAAGAGTAGCAAATGCACTGGGTACCAGATCATATATGTTAGTAATGTTATACTGCAAGATACTGAGAGAATGACAGTAGTTACAGAGAATCAAAGGGCTTCTGTATGTTTTTTCTTCCTCTTGATATTTAATGAAAGCAACATTAGCATCGAGCTTTGTGCTGGTGCTATTTAACTTTAACTTAGTGAGTTCATATTTCTTTATTAATTACAGAGTTCATTTCAAAGGGCAACTATTAAGTACACTAATAACGTAGGCATCCACTTCACTTAAAGTTGAACGTTTAAAAATCTGCTGTAGGATGACATCCTCTGTTGACAGCCCTCTAATATCTTCAGCTTCTGGAAACAAAGGCTAGTCAGCTAAACTGCCTCTTTTATTCCTCCCTGGGGAAACTCAGCAAGAAAGAGAACCTGGGCCGTTAGCGTTTAGCCTGTGAAGCTTTTAATGTAATATTTTGATTCCCTGAGAAATTTCAGTCTAGCAAATAAATATGATTCAGACAGGGGTTAATTATCTAGAGGTTGAATGAAGGTACTAGTGTTGTGTTAGCAGCAGATAAGAATGGTACCATCAGGTGTGGAGTAGCTGTGGATAATTGGGATGGTGCAGCAGGCCAGCAGATGTTGGGGCAGATACTGATTTATCGGAACTCAGAAGAGGAAATTAAGAAATTCTGTTGAAGTTTGGGAATTTAGACAGTTTAAGGCTGCCATGCCCGATCGCGGCTTATACATTGAATTGCAGTCACACACATTATCAGTGCATTTCAGCTGTATATGCTGATTTCACTGGGTACCCTGTGTACCCCTAATGTTTGGGACGGGGCTGTGG